TCCCAAACCTGATCCTGACCCCAACTCCCCCAATCCCAGACCTGATCCCAATCCCGATCCCAGTCCTGATCCCGATCCCAGTCCTGATCCCAATCCCAAACCTGATCCTGATCCCGATCCAAGACCTGATCCTGATCCCCCCAATCCCGATCCCAGACCTGATCCCAATCCCCCTGATCCCAGACCTGATCCTGATCCCAGACCTGATCCTGATCCCAATCCCTATCCCAGACCTGAACCCGATCCCAATCCTGATCCCAATCCCTATCCCAGACCTGAACCCGATCCCAATCCTGATCCCAATCCCTATCCCAAACCTGATCCTGATCCCAATCCTCATCCCAACTCCCCTGATCCCAATCCCAAACCTGATCCTGATCCCGATCCAAGACCTGATCCTGATCCCCCCAATCCCGATCCCAGACCTGATCCCAATCCCCCTGATCCCAGACCTGATCCTGATCCCAGACCTGATCCTGATCCCAATCCCTATCCCAGACCTGAACCCGATCCCAATCCTGATCCCAATCCCTATCCCAGACCTGAACCCGATCCCAATCCTGATCCCAATCCCTATCCCAAACCTGATCCTGATCCCAATCCTCATCCCAACTCCCCTGATCCCAATCCCAAACCTGATCCTGATCCCGATCCAAGACCTGATCCTGATCCCCCCAATCCCGATCCCAGACCTGATCCCAATCCCCCTGATCCCAGACCTGATCCTGATCCCAGACCTGATCCCAATCCTGATCCCAGTGCCCCTGATCCCAGACCTGATCCTGATCCCGATCCCAATCCCCCCGATCCTAAATCTGATCCCAATCCCAGTCCTGATCCCAATCCCGAACCTGATCCTGATCCCAACTCCCCCAATCCCAAACCTGATCCCGATCCCAATCCCAGACATGATCCCAATCCCTATTCCAAACCTGATCCCAATCCTCATCCCAAATCCCCTGATCCCAATCCCAAACCTGATCCCGATCCCAACTCCCCCAATCCCAGACCTGATCCCGATCCCAGACCTGATCCCAATCCCAAACCTGATCTTGACCCCAACTCCCCCAATCCCAAACCTGATCCTGATCCCAGACCTGATCCCAATCCTGATCCCAGTGCCCCCGATCCCAGACCTGTTCCTGATCCCAGACCTGATCCCGATCCTAAATCTGATCCCGATCCCAGTCCTGATCCCAATCCCAAACCTGATCCTGACCCCAACTCCCCCAATCCCAAACCTGATCCCGATCCCAGTCCTGATCCCAATCCCAAACCTGATCCTGACCCCAACTCCCCCAATCCCAGACCTGATCCCAATCCCGATCCCAGACCTGATCCCAATCCCAAACCTGATCTTGACCCCAACTCCCCCAATCCCAAACCTGATCCCGATCCCAGACCTGATCCCAATCCTGATCCCAGTGCCCCCGATCCCAGTCCTGATCCCAATCCCAGTCCTGATCCCAATCCCAAATCTGATTCCGATCCCAATTCCCCCGATCCCAGACCTGATCCCAATCCCGATCCCAGTCCTGATCCCGATCCCAGTTCCCCCAATCCCAAGCCTGATCCTGATCCCGATCCCAGACCTGATCCCAATCCCGATCCCAGTCCTGATCCCGATCCCAGTCCTGATCCCGATCCCAAACCTGATCCTGATCCCAACTCCCCTGATCCCAAACCTGATCCCGATCCCAGACCTGATCCCAATCCTGATCCCAGTGCCCCCGATCCCAGACCTGATCCCGATCCTAAATCTGATCCCGATCCCAGTCCTGATCCCGATCCCAAACCTGATCCTGATCCCAACTCCCCTGATCCCAAACCTGATCCCGATCCCAGACCTGATCCCAATCCCGATCCCAGTCCTGATCCCGATCCCAAACCTGATCCTGATCCCAACTCCCCTGATCCCAAACCTGATCCCGATCCCAGACCTGATCCCAATCCTGATCCCAGTGCCCCCGATCCCAGACCTGATCCCGATCCTAAATCTGATCCCGATCCCAGTCCTGATCCCGATCCCAAACCTGATCCTGATCCCAACTCCCCTGATCCCAAACCTGATCCCGATCCCAGACCTGATCCCAATCCCGATCCCAGTCCTGATCCCGATCCCAGTCCTGATCCCGATCCCAGTCCTGATCCCGATCCCAGTCCTGATCCCGATCCCAGTCCTGATCCCGATCCCAAACCTGATCCTGATCCCAACTCCCCTGATCCCAAACCTGATCCCGATCCCAGACCTGATCCCAATCCTGATCCCAGTGCCCCCGATCCCAGACCTGATCCCGATCCTAAATCTGATCCCGATCCCAGTCCTGATCCCGATCCCAAACCTGATCCTGATCCCAACTCCCCTGATCCCAAACCTGATCCCGATCCCAGACCTGATCCCAATCCCGATCCCAGTCCTGATCCCGATCCCAAACCTGATCCTGATCCCAACTCCCCTGATCCCAAACCTGATCCCGATCCCAGACCTGATCCCAATCCTGATCCCAGTGCCCCCGATCCCAGACCTGATCCCGATCCTAAATCTGATCCCGATCCCAGTCCTGATCCCGATCCCAAACCTGATCCTGATCCCAACTCCCCTGATCCCAAACCTGATCCCGATCCCAGACCTGATCCCAATCCCGATCCCAGTCCTGATCCCGATCCCATTGGCCATGGACCCCCCTATTGGCCATCGATCCTATTGGCCATTGATCCCTGCTGGCCATGGACCTGCCCTATTGGTTATTGATCCCTATTGGTTATTGATCCCTATTGGTTATTGATCCCTATTGGCCATCGGCCCCGCTGACCATCAATCCCATTGGTTATTGATCCCCTTGGTTACCAGCCCTATCGGTTATTGATCCTATTGATTACCAATCGCCTTGGTTATTGATCCTATCGGTTATTGATCCTATCGGTTACCAATCCCATTGGTTATTGATCCCATTGGTTACCAACCCTATCAGTTATTGATCCCATTGGTTACCGATCCTACCAGTTATTGATCCTATTGGTTATTGATCCCATCAGTTACCAGCCCTATCAGTTATTGATCCTATTGGTTATTGATCCCATCAGTTACCAGCCCTATCAGTTGTTGATCCTATTGGTTATTGATCCCATCAGTTACCAGCCCTATCAGTTGTTGATCCCATTGGTTATTGATCCCATTGGTTATTGATCCCATCAGTTACCAACCCTATCAGTTATTGATCCCATTGGTTACTGATCCTACCAGTTATTGATCCTATTGGTTATTGATCTCATCAGTTACCAGCCCCATCAGTTATTGATCCCATCAGTTATTGATCCCATTGGTTACCAATCCTATCAGTTATTGATCCTATTGATTACTGACCCCATCGGTTATTGATCCTCTTGGTTATTGACCCTATTGATTATCGACTCTATTGATTACCAATCGTCTTGGCTATTGATCCTATTGGCTATTGATCCTATTGGTTATTGACACCTGTCCTATCGATTATCGACCCTATCAGTTATTGATCCTATTGATTACCAATGCTACCAGTTATCGACCCAATTGATTACTGACTCTATTGGTTATTGATCCTATCGGTTATCGATCCCATTACTTATTGATCCTATTGATTACCAACCCTATCGGTTATTGATCATATTGGTTACCGACCCTATCAGATATTGATCCTATTGGTTATTGACGCTTTTGTTTACCAACCCTATCAGTTATTGATCCTATCAGTTATTGATCCTATCAGTTATTGATCCTATCGGTTACCAATCATCTTGGTTACCGACCCTATCACTTATTGGTCCAATTGATTCTTGACCCTATCAGTTATTGATCCCATCAGTTATTGACCCTATTGGATGCTGATCCTATTGGTTATTGACCCTATTGATTACCAATCATCTTGGTTATCAACCCTATCGGTTATTGATCCTATCAGTTACCAATCCTATCAGTTATTGATCCTATCGGTTATTGATCCTTTTGTTTATCAATCCTATTGGTTATTGATCCTGCTGGTTATGAACCCTATCGGTTATTGATCCTACCAGTTACTGACCCTATTGATCCTATCAGTTATTGATCCTATTGATTATTGATCCTATTGGTTACCAACCCTATTGATTATTGATCCTATTGGTTATTGATCCTACAAGTTACTGACCCTATCGATCATTGATCCTATCGATCATTGATCGTATTGGTTATCGACCCTATCAATCACCAACCCTATTGATTATTAATCCTATTGATTATCGATCCTATCAGTTATTGATCCTATTGGTTACCAACCCTATTGATTATTGATCCTATTGGTTATTGATCCTACCAGTTACTGACCCTATCGACCCTATCGGTTATCGACCCTACCAGTTACTGACCCTATTGATTATCGACCCTATCGATTATTGATCCTGTCAGTTATCGATCCTGTCAGTTACTGACCCTATCGACCCTATCGGTTATCAACCCTATCAATCACCAACCCTATTGGTTATTGATCCTATCGGTTACTGATCCTACCAGTTACTGACCCTATCGACCCTATTGATTATTGATCCTATCAGTTATTGATCCTATTGATTATTGATCCTACCAGTTATTAATCCTATCAGTTATCAACCCTATTGATTATTGATCCTACCAGTTACTGACCCTGTCAATTATCGACCCTATCGGTTATCGACCCTATCAATCACCAACCCTATTGGTTATTGATCCTATCGGTTACTGATCCTACCAGTTACTGACCCTATCGACCCTATTGATTATTGATCCTATCAGTTATTGATCCTATTGATTACTGACCCCATCGGTTATTGATCCTCTTGGTTATTGACCCTATTGATTATCGACTCTATTGATTACCAATCGTCTTGGCTATTGATCCTATTGGCTATTGATCCTATTGGTTATTGACACCTGTCCTATCGATTATCGACCCTATCAGTTATTGATCCTATTGATTACTGACCCCATCGGTTATTGATCCTCTTGGTTATTGACCCTATTGATTATCGACTCTATTGATTACCAATCGTCTTGGCTATTGATCCTATTGGCTATTGATCCTATTGGTTATTGACACCTGTCCTATCGATTATCGACCCTATCAGTTATTGATCCTATTGATTACTGACCCCATCGGTTATTGATCCTCTTGGTTATTGACCCTATTGATTATCGACTCTATTGATTACCAATCGTCTTGGCTATTGATCCTATTGGCTATTGATCCTATTGGTTTGGGGCCTGCCCCGCCCCCTTCCTCCTTGGCCAATTTCTGCAGAATTTCACCCGAATCTGGGGAAGCGTGGGGGAGGCGACGCCCGGGCGCCTTTTTCCACCGGGGGTGGGACCTCGCCGGGGCTTTTCTTTTTAGGTAAATACTGGCTATTTTGGGGACTGCACATTTCTTTTTCTTTTTCTTTTTTTTCCACTTTCTTTCAGGCTCAGGGCGTGGCCGAGGGGCCCCAAATCCCCGGCGCCCCCCCCAAAAAGGCCCCGTGGGGGAGCTCAGAACGACGGCGGGGACCCAAAAGTCACCATTCTGGACCCAAAAATCTGAGTCATGGACCTGGAGTTTCCTGAGGGACCCAAAAATCTCCATTTTGGACCCAAAAATCTCCACTCTGGGCCCAAAAAGCTCCGGTTTGGACCCAAAAATCTCCTTTCTGGACCCCAAAATTTTCATTCTGGACCCAAAAATCTGCGTCCTGGACCTGGAATTTCCTGAGGGAGCCAAAAATTCCACGTTTGGACCCAAAAATCTTCATCCTGGACCCAGAATTTCCTGAGGGACCCAAAAAATCTCCGTTCTGGACCCAGAAATTCCTGATGGACCCAAAAATCTCCATTCTGGACCCAAAAATCTTCATTCTGGACCCGGAACGTCCTGAGGAACCCAAAAATCTTCATTTTGGACCCAAAAATCTCCGTTATGGACCCAGAAATACCTGATGGACCCAAAAATCTTCATTCTGGACCCGGAACGTCCCGAGAAACCCAAAAATCTCCATTCTGGACCCAAAAATCTCTGTTACGGACCCAGAACTTAATCATGAACCCAAAAATCTCTGATCTGGACCCAAAAATCCTCATTCTGGACCTGGACCTTCCTGAGGGACCCAAAAATCCCTCGTTTGGACCCAAAAATCTCTATTATGGACCTAGAACTTTGTGATGGACCCAAAAATCTCCGGTTTGGACCCAAAACTCTCCGTTATGGACGCAGGATTTCCTGATGGACCCAAAAATGCCTCGTTTGGACCCAAACTTGCGGCCCCAGCTCGGGGGATCTTCTGTGGGACAGGGTGGGAGCTGTGGGGCAGGGAGTAGCTATGGGGCAGGGTGGGAGCTGTGGGGCAGGGGGGGCATGGGT